CAGACACAAAAGGCTCATGAGGAGTACAGACTGAATATTCAATCAAGGCTGGGTAGCCCTGGCCCCATCTATTTCAACTTATTCCCTCCAGAGACATTGGGAATATAATTTCCATTTTTCCTAACTGAGGGTAAATACTGTGTGGCTCACCTTCAATTTTCCAAAATATTATTGTTTCCTCCCACTAAAAAGAGTCTAGGCAACACGGGATACTCACTGCAACTTCCTCAGTCCTGTCCAGGAACCTAGAGAGGAAGAATAAGTATCAGACCTATTCAACTTCCTGCTCAGAGTTTAGTTTTGGCTGTATGCTCACAATGGCTTTTACCTCAACAGGTCTAGGAGAAGCTTTTGGTCCTCAGTCTCCTTGAGAAAATGTATTAAATGGCGCAAGGCAACTTGCCGCAACTCCAGCTCTCTGAACAGGATCTCTAGTTGTAAAGAGAAGAAATGCTTGTCTAACAAGATCAGGCCTGAGTTATCCCCTCACTCTTTCCTTTGCTTAAGCATTTCACTTCTGTTGGCCATCCTGGAAAGAGAGGATGGGAGGGGTAGTCCTACACATCTGGAGGGCATCAGGTTGGGACAAGTCAGCTTACTACATGGTCTCATTCAAATAGCCAGAAGGGATGAAAGGATCACCTTGGATATGTCAGTACACTGCATGTAGCTAATTAGTGGGATGGAGGCAACAGAATGTTGGCTTGCAAGGGAATCTCTAAATTAGAAATTCCAGCTTGCAAAATTGGGCTTTTGTTGTATTTGTGGCATACTGCTAAAATATAAAAACGCCTGACCCGTACTATCATTATCATTAGAAGGGAATGCTGCACTGCTACAATTAAGGCTGGGAACCTACTCTACATCTCCATCTTTCTAAGGGGAAAATAAACTATAATCTTCCCACACTACCTTCGCTAGCTTTGTTCACATAACATACTTAAGTCAAAGGAGAGAGGGTTAGCATGTCATGCAATACTGGAATTAGAGACTAATTTTAGCTCAAAACAACACTGTGGTTCAATCTGTTAGTTCTGGGCTAAATTAATTCCCCTGGTCAGCTGTGTTGTCCAAATAGGACAAGCACTATTTCAATAGCTGACAGACTGATAGCCCTGTTTTATATGTGATGGAAAATGTACTTTATGCACTGCAAAAGTACTATCAAGAGAGAAAACCTGATGCACTTCACAGTTAGCCAACATATGGCTACAAGGATTGGATTCATTTCCAAAAAAAAGTGCTCTATATAGGACATAATGTATAGCATGATAGCATCTATGGCAATGATTTTCAAACTTGGCAACTTGAAGATGTGTGGACTTCAATTCCAAGAATTCCTCAGCCAGCATGCTGGTTGGAGAATTCTGGGAGTTGAAGTCCACACATCTTAAGATTGCCAAGTTTGAAAAAAACTTATCTATGGTGATGAATGAGAACTGGCCTCTATGCTCAGCAAATCCAATTATAACCATTCCTTGCAGCAATGTTTTCCCCCACTATATATAAAGGTACTACCATCTAATTCATGAGGATATAAAATTAGGCTTAGCACAGATAATATGCTAAGAGACAAAAATGTTCATGGCCTAAAATGACTGTCTTGAAAAGCGCAGGTGATCTGTCAGCTTAACTTGTATGACAAGAATTAGGCTATACATACTTTACATAAACAAATTTATAAATCTGATTGGGAATCCTGGACAATACGTACCTTTCTTTAAGGTTCTTTTCAGAAAAATTAGTATCTGCAGGAAAACAAATAGAAGAAGGGTCCATTGTATCCTCCATTCATCTACAATTGATTGATTGATATCTCGCCTTTATTTGTACAACTGTTAAGTGAAATCATTATAGATTTAGAGCAAAATGTCATCAGTATGCTGATGACACTCAACTTTATTCCTCTTTTCATCAGATTCAAATAAGGCAGTGGAAGTGAGGAATTAGTGCCTGGCTATGGTATTCAACAAGCGCCAAAAAACTGAAGCTCAATCCAGACAAGCATTGGTGTTATCAGTGGATAGTTCATGTATTGATGTGAGTGGAGTTCAGCCTCTTCTAGACAGGATTTCACTCTCCCCTAAAGGATTAAGTTTGCCCTTCTGGATCCATCTTTGACATCAGATACACAAGTTGCCTCTGTGGTAAAAAGCAGCTTTAATGCCTCCTTGAATGCACTCCTTCTTTACTCCTATTTTTTAAAAAACGTGTTAAATTATTTTAACTAACAAAATTAAACTGAAAGCTAGTATATACAAAATGCAAATCTCGAACAATCTTTATTTTCAAGAATGCTTCTGTGCCCTCAATATACACTGGAGGCATTCTGAGAAAATAAAAAAGGTAGGTCAGTAGTCAACATTTTGTTTGGAAATAGGCTCACTTGCCCACCAAAAACAAAACAAAAATAGAAGATGAAGTGGGTAGGGAGGCAATAAAAAATTAGAAAATGTGATGGGGAGCACATACACCCTTTCCTTGTTCAGTGACTGCATTCCATTCCAATGAGTTGGTTGTTAAGTGAAATGGCCTCTAAGTGAACATGTGACAGAGAGGGAGAGAGACTGTGAAGATCACTGATTGCTGCCATCTCATTCAGATAAAGTTCTCTTCTAAAGTGTCCTGTGCCTGACCTGTTTTTTTTTTCTTTTTTTGCCCTCTGGCAGGAGCTTTTCTAAGGCAGCTCCTCCCTAAAAAGTGCTAATTGCAAGTTAACAAGCTCAGCTCTCTGACCTTAATTAGTTGATTAGAACCTTCCCACCAGCTGTGCTGCTGCCTGAAACTGACCAGACCTTAATCAGTTTCACACTGAAGGCTTTTGTTTTCAGGCTGATGAAATTTGTAAATGCAGATGAAATTTGTAAATGCGTGCATTGATTGGAAAATGATTTTTTTATTACCATTTATTATAGTCATATTTGCAAATGGTTGCTTACTGAGGAAATTGCTAAATGAGGAGTGGCTGTAGTTCTGCCTTTTTATATCTGGCCACACTCAACATTGGCAACTATTTTGTAAGAATGTCCATAACATCCTCCCCAAATTCCAAAAGTACTCGCTAGTTCAAAAACACTGGGGACCCTTGCTTGCATGATATTTGGATTTTTGGACATTTTTTAAAAATTAGAAAATATTTAAGGGGTCTTACAAGATTCATTCACTCTTCATTTCTCGGAGGCAAGGGTAGCTCAACCAATGCCTTGCCTTCCAAAATGTTTTCTAGCAGCAAAACAAAAACAAAAAGATTCATTTTCTCATTCAGAAGATTCCAAGAATTTAGGGCACTCATTTATGGAAAAATTAATACAAAAGTAATGACATTCCCATACACAGAAATGGAAGTTAATTGGGTCAGACTGAGCTGCAGTCCCCCCTCTACTCTATGATCACAGCAGGACTTACGGCTGTAATAACATTCCCATCGTGCAATGCAACAGCTTCATCCAGCAGCAGTAATTTGTCCTGCAAAGAATGGAACCTTTCCAAGGAGCACACCTAGAGTAGGATGAGATTCATAAACAAAAGTAATATTAGAAAGGTGGTGGTGGGGTGTTTATAACATATTCTTTGAGATGGAACTACACCTGGCTGGTTGATAGTGTGAGCAATTCCAGAGACAACCAGTGGAAGTGATTGTTTTCAGGGAGACACCTTTAGTCTAATTACAAGCCCCAGGAACCTTAGCCACTGAGAGAAACAGTTTGCCATTTAGTATTGTGCCTCTGGATTTGCATCATCAAGCGCTACCCATTGTAGCAGGAATCCTCTTTCTAGCATTTTCAAGAAAATCATGAAATCATTCTAACCCAACTGCAAGTGCCAAGTGTCAAGGCAGAGCTCCAGTCATAACTCTGAGGATCAATAAAGATCCTACTTGGTAAATCCATCATGAAGTAATAGAAAGTGAGGAGCTGGAGGTTCGTCTTATAGCTCCTTGGCAATTCTTCCTCAAGTAACCTCATTTATTTCCTAATCTCCATAGCAAGGGAAAAGCTGAGCAACACCTTTCATTTTGAGGATCATATTTTAAACAGCTCCCTAAGAACAATTAATAGTAGTTCAGAGGCATTAAAGGCATGCAAATGTGTTTGATATATCTGTTTAGCAGCTCTAAAGCAACTGGTTGTGGATCTTCTCTATATCTAGTAAGAATCACTTGTTTAGCTATTAATGGAGAGTTCTCAAGAGCTAAAACCAAATCTATGGAATCTTCTTTTGCTCTGACGTTGGCACAGCATAACGTATAATTATGGCACTTGATGATAGGCTTGCTAGCCCTACCATAATCTCCCACTGGACCTCATGTGGAGGACTTCATTCCCCTTTGCACAGTAAGATGTCACAGGCTTCTTTGCAGCAGAAAAGGAAACTACCAACAGCCATATTGCCATGTGACTATGCAAAAGTAGTGTGAGAAACCCTTCCAAATACATATAAAAATAATAGGTTCAAAAGTAGGAATGAAAAAAAAAAGTTCTAATTTCTATACAGGTAGTCCTCAACTTACAACGGCAATTGGGCCTGGAACTTCTATCGCTAAGTGATGCAGTCATAAAGCGCGACCAGATTACTTAGTAGTCCTGGTTGCCATTGTTAACTGAATCCAATGGTCATTAGACAAAGCAACTTCCTGCTGGCTTCCCACAACCAAGCCAGTGGGGAAGCCGGCAGGAAGTTACAAGTCCTAGGTGGTTCGCAAGCAGGCAGGTAAGTGGGGGAGGGCGCAAGGGGGTTCATGGGAGGCATAGTGAGGCTCAGGGAGGGTGCATGAGGATGCAGGGGAGGTGCGGCAAGGGCCAGGGAGGGGGGTGGTGGTGGTTGAGGGAGGCGCGGCAAGTGTTGGGGTCAGGGAGGGTGCGTGAGGGTGCAGGGGAGGCCTAGTGCAGGGGAGGGTCAGGGAGAGTATGTAGGGATGTGAGGGGGTGTGCAAGGGTGCAAAGGAGATATGGCGAGGCTTGGGGAAGGTGCATGAGTGCAGCACAGATTGGGGATGGTGCGTGAGGGTGTGAGGCAGGCGCGGTGAAGGTTGGGGAGGGTGTGCAAGGGTGCATGGGGATGCGCGAATGGTGGGGCAAGGCTTGGGGAGGGTGCATGGGAGTGTGCGAGTGGCTGGTGCGAGCACAGAGAGACTGGGGGAGGGTGCACAGGTCTGAAGACTTACCCCAGTTACTTGCAACCTTTCCTGCTAGCTTCCCCATTAACTTTCTCAGGAAGCCAGCAGGGAAAGTTGCAAATGGCAATCAAATGATTGTGGGGCGCTGCAAACAGTCATAAATGTGAGCTGGTTGCCAAGTGCCCGGATCATGATCACATGACTGCGGGGGTGCTGGGACGGCTGGAATTCCGAGGACCAGTCATAACCATCATTCATTCACCGTCATAACTTTGAACAGTCGCTGAATGAATGGCTGTAGGTCGAGGACTACCTGTAGTTTCCAAACTTTCTGAAACACAAATTGAGCTTTCTGAAAGCTCATCCCAGTTTCACTTGCTACCTTGCCTCTCTGCAGCCGTCTTACTGTATCATTAGGACTCCAATCAGAATTGTAATCCTGAAAAAGTAAAAAGAAAACAAAAACCACTGTTAACACTTTACAAGTTTTGAAAGATCCAGTTATGATTTGTGACTGAGATATATGGGGAGAGAGAGAAATAACATTGTTAGTATCATACTAGACAACTTTCAGGGGACTTAGAAACTAATCCAGGAATACAACATAATGACAGATAGGAATCTTGGTTTGGATACAAACCTAAGTTTTTAATTCGTGGCTAGTTTAACTGCTGGGAGAGCTAGGGTATGTTTTGCCTGCAGAAGAGAAGACACAGGAGAGATTTGATAACAGTCTTCAGCTATCTGAAGGATTGTCATATAAAGAAGGGAGTGAACTTGTTCTCTTTTGCCTTGGATGATAGGACTAGAACCAATCTACAGGGTAGTAGATTCAGGGTAGACATTAGGAACAAGTTTCTGAAGATAAGAGCTGTCAACCAGTTGAACAGGTTGTCTCATGAAGTAGCATGTCCTTCACTGGAGGTATTCAAACAGAGGCTGTATAGCCACTGGCTTTAGCTGATCCTGCATCAAGCGGTAGTTTGAACCAGATGACCACTATAGCTTTCTATGATTTCACGATCTAATCTGTCTTCTCCTTTCTTTTCAGACTGTTAATTAAGAAGGGAAAAAAACCTCTTTTAAAACATGGAACCTGCTCCTAAAGCAATATATTTGCATGGGAGTCATCACTGTGAGCAAACCATGCTATGGATTTTGTGTTGTAAGCTTCTGATTTCCTTATCTAGACTTATAGCCCACTTATATGCATAGCATATGAGAGTAATCCTCCATGTGGTCAATTACTCAAGGAGTGTGCTCAATTACTCAAGTGTAAAATCCTAGACTATAAATGCAAGTAATCACTTTAATAAATTATGCAATGAGCATTCAACAAATACTGTAGTCCTTGGACAGAAAGAGGAGATGTGAGCTTTTACAATTAGATAGGGTTTAGTCATCTGGCTCTAAACTACTTAACTTTGTCCTTCATCCAGACTCCAATAAATATACTAACCTTATAATCTGCTTTTGGTCTGCGTAATTCTGGAGCATAATTTTTAAATCCTGTGTCTGTAAGAGCTGAAAAAGGAAGGACAGATCTTTTTAACTTTCTGAATAAGTTCCCATCTTTCCACGCTGTTTTGCCCATCATATGGCGCATAGTCACTAAATTTGGTACAGCACCAAAATAACAATAATGCTAATTAAAGCAAGAAACAATAAGAATCAATAAAGGAAGGGTCTGAAGGCACAAATAAATGCATCTGTTTCTTTCTAAAGACCAAAAGGAAGTAAACAATGCTAGTTTCAAGGTATTATCTGTCAGAGCCCAAAGTCTATCCTAGTTCTTGTCTAATTATTAGGACTTATGCTTTAAAATATCATGCTGAAACTTTCAGATGCAAATTCCTTGCATCCCTGCTGGCATTTAAAAAATCTTTAAAGACCTAAATATTTTTTCAGTCATGGGGCCTAGAGGTTGGGTGAGCCCATCAATGTGATTTTTTGGGACAACTGTTGTTACATGGAATTGATTAAATTGTCCTTGGGCCCCATTATGTTCTTATTGTACTATTTTGTTATTTTTTTGTTTCATTTTCTGTTGGTTTTTAATCTCCTGTTCACCACCAGAGTTGCAACAGGCAAGATGGAACGCTATATAAATCAATATAGTAAATAAACAAACAAATAAATCTGTGTCTGTTTTGTGGTGACACTTGAAGTTGGTTGCTTCATTTGGATACATTATAAGGAACGGGCTGCAACTGCTAGCTGCCATATCCTGGCTTCCTTTCTCTTCCTAACGGCAGGGCCAGACCTGACCTTACATCCTGAACTCAAAAGAGGGCAGTTTGCACTCCGGAACCATCTGAGACCTTTTCTTTGGGGAGTGAACTCTGGATGAAGTGAAAGGACTAAGACTGCAAAGGAAAGGCCAGAGAGGAGAAACTTGTAGTAAACAAGATGTGAGCTCCTATATACATTTTCCTATGTAATCTGCATGGTTAGTCATATAGAAAAGATGGTACTAATTTCTCCAATGGTATATGAGAAGCAACCTTCCCTTTTAGCAAACTTAGGACAAAATTCAGTATTCTTACCATCTGAAAGTGACTGAAAACTCCCATGTTTGTTTCTTCCTAAAAGAAAAGCACAAATATGAAAGGCAGAAATAAAGTTATTTCTTCTCGCTAGAAGCCTATTAAGTCACTAACTATAAAATAATGCCCAGCAGCATGAATTAAGACATACAATTGCATAACTTCTGTGAACATCTCATTTAACAATGTCCAGAAACAAGGGCTGAAGACTGGACAAATGGTAATTTTTTTCCCTTTTCTCAAGAACCAATCTTTGCTTATGCTGCATCTATCCTGTTGCCAAAACTGTTAATTCAACTGAAAATATAAAGAGAAGGAAATAAATGTAGTATTTCACTGTGAGAGCATAAAATCACTGACCTCTTGCACAATGAGATACTGGGTAACAAGGGTATGGGGCACATAGCAAATGTTACCTTGCACAGACTTGCTATCAAAATTGAGAAACAAGTGCTATAATGACACTTTGCCAATCACGAGATGGTAAGGAGCCAGAGATGAAGAAGTCCTTTGATCAGACAGACCTAAAAATGCAATCCTGATGCTTCTGAGGGTAGCTTTGCTGAACAACTGCCCCCATAATGATTATCCTACCTTTAAAAAAGCTGCTCAGTGAATAAGAAGAGGATTGCTTGGGTATAGCTGCATAGGAAGAGCCCTTTTGCTGATCCCTCCCTTCAGAGGCACTGCTGCTACTGCTGCTGGAGGCAGTCTCTTTGATTGACCACGAAATGCCTATGAGAAAAGAAAGAGAGAGATCTGGAAAATGTGTATCATTCTTTAGCAAAGAAAAATATTAATAATATTAATATTATTAATTTGAAATACTGATGATCATTATTTGGGGCCTAATTCTTATGCTTCTGCTTATTAGATAGCTATGTCCTATAAGATACATAACCTCAACCTAAACTGTTGTGTTAAGAATAGTCTCTGAAAGCACTCATATATCTACAAATCAACCAAACTGTCCCTAGCCTGGTGCCGTCCAGATACTTTGAGCTATTAACTCTCACTATACCCAATCAGCATGATCTTCAGCGATCCTAATTAGGGATGACGGGAGCTGCAACATCAAATAAACGGGGAAGGTGTCAGAGAGGAGAAGAGCACAAAATGTACAGAAATGTCTATTAGGGAAGTTAGTAAGGATATTGCACATTGGGATAATGCACTCAGTACTGCACTCTATGTATTCTTTACAGCAACATATGTATCGGTGCAACATAAATGCAAAAAGGGTAATGGGGCACATGTGGTCAGAAAGCATCCCTTTTGAGACCTGAAGAGTGAATTTTGATAGGCAACTGGAGGCTCCTAACCTATCTCTCTTCTATCTATAGCAACCAATATGAACAACAAATGGTCTAGTGATTTATCTCTGGCCAACAAATTCTAGATCTACAGAATAACATGGTAACATATGAAGGACTGCAAGGGTCTGCACCTGAAAGAGTTTATTATTCTTAGTTTGTATACAGTAAGTCAGCCTCCCCCAATTTTGCAACCTTTTAGTGTGTTGGAATACAACTCCCAGGTTCATACTGAAAAGGGGCCAGATTAGAGGCTAACCTATGAATAAGAAATGCTGATGCTTAATAGGAAACCTACTTCCCAAATGTCACATTGGGCACCAAATATTTATGATATTTTTAATTTGCCCTTCATGAGAAGATAATTGCTAAATTCATGGAAACATCATCATTATCTCTGTACAAATGGTTTGTACTAACTTAGGAAGCAGCCTTCTTATAGATTTTTTTACAAGCACAGGCAAGATCAAAGAGCTCACATAATGGAGCACAGAAGAAGCTATCAAGCCTTGTTGCATAGCTATCTCCACCCAGGTTAGGAGAAAGCAAGTGAAAACTAACATCCTCTTCCTCTGATGGCTGAACTGACCAAGAGTCAAGTAGCAGCAACAAATACTTTTACTATGACCAGGTAAAATTTACAATATGTACCTTTTGGGATTTCCTTTGAAGGCTTTTTTAGCCATTCTATCATTTTATAGCAATCATTACAAAAATAAACGAACAGAATACAAAAGTACAAACCATAAACAATGAAACAATGAAATACTAAATATAATTAATAAACTACAAAAAACCTAAACAGAAGAAAAAACAGAAGAAAAAAACAGAAAAAAATTAAAAGTACAAATACCAAATTTCTAAATTTTAACATGTAGAAATCACTGGTTTACAAAATTTAAACTATATTATCATATAGAAAAGGATTAAAAATATCTAAAAATGCTATTGTTGTAAAATATCATGAAATCTATACCAAAGAAGAACATATTTCATTTTCTGGTTAGATGAAAATATTGCCCTTTCCCAAACAGATAAATTATACATTTCCCCAAAATGTCTGGAATAACATCAGTCTGCCAATTTCTTAGTATAATTCTTTTTTACAATGATTCTTTTTACAACTCAGTCAGATTGCAAAATTTTGGGATATAACTTAGCACAACATTAACATCATTGACATTCAGGGATTTCCCCATAAATCTAAATTCACAAGACCAACTCATATGGGTCAGTGAGACCTCAATTTTTTTGCATCTCCAACAAAGAAAATCTGATATCCAATATATTATTTGGGGAGTCCAATAAATTCAAAACACAATTTTTTGATGAATCAATTTTAGTCTCAAATCTGTCAATACCAATTTAACATTATTAAGGACTTGCAAACATGGATGTGGCATTATCAGATACTCCAGTTCATAATTAATAAGGGATTTCCTTTGAACTTTTTGGAGAGGCTATTGTTTACTCTCAATTAGTTGTTTTTAATACTCTTTCCCTACTGAAAAAGGAAATTAGGACAGAGGAAATTCAAGCAGCAAAGCAAAAAAAGAAAAAGAAAAAGAAAGGAAAAGGAAAAGGAAAAGGAAAAGGAAAAGGAAAAGGAA